TCCTCCCTCCTGTGTAGCTCACCCTCTGTCACCTCTCCCACACTGCCTGCTGTGTCCATTTGTCTGGAATGCCCATTTGTTTCACAACGCATAGGCTGACAGTCTTAAGTTTTTAGTGTCAAAAACATTTCATTGGCTGGAATTAGACTAGATTTATGCTGTGGCCTGGTCTTATCTGTCTGGTTTTGGAAAAGTTGCCTAACTGAGCTTCAAACTGTCTCTCTGTGGGAGTTTGAGGGAAGATAGTCTGACTGTAATGGTCAGAGGAAGACGTGGAAATTACTTAGGTGATAAGGATGAGACAGTTTGAAAAGCCACCTCTCTCAGCCACTGTTTCTATCAGTTTGTAACCTTCCCAACCTCTGGCTTTTTTTTCTTTTAATCTATAGGCTGTTTTATAATATCAGAAGGCTTATTGTGGGCAACAAATGAGGTAATGTCTGTACAACGCCCACACTGTCCCCAGTACATGGCAGGGGCTCAGCCACTATCAGAGCCCTCTGTCCACTGAATCAGCCTGAGAAAACCTTGTAGCCTTCTCAAGTTGAAGCTGCTTAGTTTCTTCCCCAGGCCAAGAGAGGAGGAGTTGAGAGTAAGCAAGGCCCGATTTCCAAGTCCTTGATCATTTACCACATAGTATTATTATTTACTACATATGTGATGATGGACAAGTTTATTTCTGAGAGCATCTGTTTTAAAGGATATAAAATGGAGAAAAAAATCATAGAAGTATTTGCAGGAGTAAATGAGGGATTCGATGTAAAAACAGAGCTCTTGGTGAATGATCAAGTTCTCTGCAAATTTAGGCACTAAAACCTGCTTACCCATAGAGGAAATATTTACGAGAGGACTTCTGTATGGCAGACGTTATGCTGGCCCCTGGGGATGTGGTGGTGAACAGATGTTTCTCATTTCTCAAGCATTTGCATCCCGTCAAGGTACACCAGGAGAGAGGCCAGGTAGACGAATTCATTTCAGTATAAAATTTCTCTGTGGTAGGAATTGGGGTGGTGGTGGTTGCAGAACATTTCTGACTTTTTTTTTACAGCTGCTGTCTAGTGGACTGGAATAGTAAGGTAAGAATGGGTGGTGGTTGCCAGGTAAGAACCTTCCAGGGAGAGAGCAAAGCATATGCGAAGAGGCTCCGTGCCCGGAGAGAATAATCCATCGGTGGCTTTCAAACTATTTTAGAGGTTAGGGGCCAGGAAGTAATCAGAACCTGTTTTGAATGGCCTCCCAGCCCTTTCCTGACTCTCTGGACGTCTATAGGTCAATGTAACCTCTTTGGATCCCATCCGTGAAGCCATTCCTCACTGTTGGGCCTGGCCGTGTTGAGCGGGTGTCCCAAGTCCTTCTACCCTCCTTCCTTCTGAGCCTCCTATGGCTAACATTTACCTTCGGGTCCACGAATTACCCAATGGAAAGGTGTTTCTTTAAGATAGCCTCGTTAGATCCCTCATGGACTTTTCTCGAGAGGAATTTATAGCTATGTATTTATAGCTGTAGAGAAAATGGTACTTCAGCTGCCTCTGTGAGGCCAAGTTTGGACTTTGTCACTGCTCCCTACTCTGCATGTCACTTGGCCCCCAAACTCGACCTGCAGCAGCAGTACAGAGGCACCTGAAAATATCCCCGTTCCAATCCCCAGATGCTACAGTTATCTGTGACAGCAGAAGAAGGTAATGAATACACCACCCTGTCCGTGCTCACTGAGTGAGCCTCCTTTCAGGTTACCCAGGGATACCTCAACTCCTCTCCTTACCCCAAACTCAACTGTGCCTTTGGCATCTTTTCGTCCTTAGTCCTTTCTGAAACTGATCCCTCCACGTACCCTCTGGAACATATCTTCTCACTTCTGCTAGCATCTTATTTTAATACACCCTCTCGTACTTTCCATGTCTTTAATCTGCTTGTGTCTTTGAAGCTCTCATGGTTTCCTCTGAGCAGCCTGAGCTGGAAGTTCGTATTCACGTATCCTCCTTTCGCTTCCGAATGCAATCCACCACAACAAATCAGTGCCCCCGCCCAACCCAGGCGCACAGACGCTGCCCCTCATGGGTCCCTGCAGAGTCCCGGTTGTCAAATCCAAGGTCCCTTCTCATCTCTCGTTTCCTTGACCTCCCAGGACAGTGATTCTGTTGAGCCACCTTTCTGTCTTTGGAGACCATTACACAACTTTTACTGCTTCTGTGTGACTTCTATTCTCTTTGGTCTCTTGTTCACTTATCCATCTCTTATTTCAACAAATTTTTATTGAAGCCCTCCTGGGCGCGTAGAGCTGTGCTGAGGAATATGAATATATACACACACACGAGACTCCTCAGGAAGTTTTCAGTACACCGGAAGAGACGTGTATGCAAAAGAAATAACCTTGTTTTAAGAGCAAAAGCAAAGATGTATACTAGGTATGGAGTGTAGAGGTCTCCAGGCCTCTGTCCAACCTTTAGCCTTGCTACTCAAAAATGTGCCCCCTGGAGGAGCAGCAGCAGTGCCTTGGAGCTTGTTTAAAAAAAAAAAAAAAAAAAAAGGCAGAGTTGAGACTTCTGAACTGAAATCTTTAGGGGTGGAGCTCACACGTTAGCTAGCGTTGTTGGTCTCACCTGAAGTATCCTATGAAGCCTCATCTCTACTGTCCAGCACTCCAGTCCTGCCCCACTTCCTATGGGCCCTTGGTGCCTTCACTGCACCTTCTCCAAACTGCACTCATTCGGGTGTTGGTGCTACTTTCTTTCGTTTTTGTTTCTGTTTTTTTGAGACAGGGTCTCACTGCATAGTTGAGACTGACCTGGAACTCACTATGTAGCCCAGGCTGGTCTCGAACTCACAGAGATCCTCCTGCCTCAGCCTCCTGAGTGCTGGGATTTCGATGCTACTTTCTAAATGGGACTTCACAGGACCATTTCCCCCTCCCTTTCTGTGGGTATTTCCAAAGCACTTATCACCGTGTATAATTCGGTGAGGGTCTATGAATGTTTATTGAGCAATATCAGACACTAGGCAAAGATTTAGGCTGCACAGGAAAAGAATAAATTACTTGTCAAAGGAGCTTGCAGTGTGTATCGGGTAACTGTGTACATAGCCCCATCGTTTCATGTCTTTCTCTGAATCGCTGGATGTTGAATAGAAACGCTCCAGGCTTCACCTTCGTGTCGACAGTTTTGTCGAACAGTGGATATCGACACCATAAAGAGATAGAGCATGGGAGCAACCACTGGTGACACAAACTTAGCCCAGTAGTTAATCTTCACTACGCAGACATGTCGGTACCCCCAGAATCCCTTTCCACCTCTTCCTTCAAGGCGTCCTCCAGTTTCTATCTGGCTACCCTCAAGTTCAGGAGATGCTCCCGGTGCAAAGCTTATATACTAAATGGAGAGAAAAACCAGGGTTTGGACTTGATGTCCATAGTGATGGTGGAAGCAGAGCGAGCACCGTGCATGAAGAGCCCCGAGCACCCATCTGGAGGTGACAAGGAAAAAGAGGCCAAAGCCTAGAAATCCAACCTGAGAAACGGAGAGAGAAAAATTATTTTGTTCCCATTGTTTGATTCCCTTGACCATGCCTCATCTGAAATTTTAAGTGTTTATTCTATCTCAATAAATTCCTTTTATTGTTGGAACCATTGTGATTGGACTGTTCATTTTACAAGTAATCAGAAGCATCCTAATTGTTGAAATCTTTTACTTGAATCCAAAGAACAACTTGTTACCTAGAAAGTGAGCCTGTGCTTTCACCAAAGGCTGATTTATTACAAAATCAAGTCATGTGTCAGCCTTTTCCTTGGCTACCCCTGAGAAACTACAGATTCTTAGCACTGCATAGCCACAGTAAACTTGCATTAAAGCCACACTGCCACGGCTAAAAATTTGCACTTGCTGCTTTTTGTCACCGTACTTGTGAAGGTTAATTTTATATGTCCACTTGGCTGGGTCACAGGGTGCCCAGACATTTGTTAAAACATTATTTGTAGGTGTGTCCGTGAAGATTTTTCTGGAGGACCTTAGCATTTGAATGGGAAGACTCAGTAAAGCAGATGGCTCTTCTACTGTAGGAGGTAATCATTTAAATGGTGGAGGAACTACATTGAACCAAAAGGTGGAGGAAGGGGAGAATTCACTCTGCCTGGCTGAGCTGGAACACTGGTGTTCTAATCTTAGCATGGGACTTATATCCTTGGTCCTACAGCTCTTGGGATTTGGGTCTTCAACTAGAACTATACTATTGGCTTTCCTGGGTCTCCAGCTTGCAGCAGAAATAGACGGGATATATACAGTATGTATCTCACAGGTACGTAAGCAGATACTTGCTTTCACATGAAGTGAGTGTGTTTAGATATACAGCTGAGGTGACATAAGTGACATATCCTGTCTGCCTATGTGGGCCATTGTATATAATATACTGCCTCCAGTTGTTTCCTCTTTGCTGTTACACGCAAAAGCCGAAGTAGATGGTACTGTTCTGGTTGTTCCAGTTGAGACATCAAGGCCAAGAGTTCTGTCAGGTGTCTGTTAATTGGCTGAGGCTGCTTTTCATACACTGCAGGTAATATCCTTAACAACATGGCATTTCCTGTTGAGGGAGCGAAAACCAGAAAGGTGATTTAGCCCACGAGCAACAGAAACAACACTGCCATCAACCCAACAGCCTTTGCGCTTACATAGTAATAGCCCAGATGATGGCCAAGTCTGTTACAAATAATACAGTATCTTGTTCTGAAGAATCACTTAAGGCACGATTTAAACTGATTTCATAAAAGGGAATATTTTGTGACATAATCGGCATTATTATCTAGTGAATTTTTTTTCTGAGTAATGCACCATGAGGGATGGAAGAAGAACATTTGACAGTAACCAGACCACACCCTTGAGAGAGAAAGAATTCCTGATGAGAAGCAACACTTGGATGATGTTTAAATGAAAAGTAAGTGGTGTCGTAAGTGCGAACCTTGAAAAAAGGTTGCCAGGAATGTATTCACATTCCAGAGGGTTACAAAGGCATTTAGACGGTGAACACAAAAACTACACCATATTTTTATGAAGAGTTTAAAAAGTAGCAATGCAAATTTAAATCGCCTGTTTCTGGACTATTTCAAAAGAAGTTTAGATTCAACTTGTTTCTCACTTGTGATTTGCCTCTAAGACATGTATAGACAACTGGATTAAAATAACAAAACCTCAAGAAAAAATGTTCCATAAGCTGTAAGATCTTATCTACAAACAACATATGGGAAACATCTGCTTATCACTTTATGGTATGGATTTTTTTTCTCAAAATCCTCTTGTCTTTAAGCATCACAAGGGAATTGGTTTCTAGAGATTTCTTGAGCGAATTTTCCTGATTCTAGTTACTCTTACCAGTTTTGTTATATAGAAGACATACACAGAATGAATCAGAAAAGCAGGAACTACACACATGTAGACCTTCACTAAGTGTGTGCGTGGGGAACAGTCATATATTGAAGATACTTAATTATGAGCATCACGGAAAGAAGGCCAGGATTTTTAGGGTGTCAATGTTTACATTTAGTGACAGACTGATTCCAGATAAAATTGAGTGCATTTGGACAACAACAAACAATGAGAATTGATTTTTCTACGTGGATTTCATAGAATTAGTCTCAAACATGTCTTAGTCTCATTGTTCATAGAGTACACAATGTTGGAAATACTCAGTATAATTTTTTGGGCGGGTACTGGAGATCAAACTTGGGACCTTAAGCTTGCGAAGCAGGCGGCGGAAACACTACTCAGTGTAATTTTTAAAGACATTTGACCATCAACATTTGTTTTCAACAATTTAACTTAAAGTATTCTATTTTCTATTTACTTTTACTGAGAGCATCTCCTTAAAGGATCAAGAATTTTTAATGCAATACTCATTTTGTACAGAACATATTAAGCCACTGAAATTAGTTATGTGGATATCTTTCTTGATCAACTGAAGAAAAATGTTGCATGAAGTGGGACAGTGGTTGGAATCTGGGACAGGAAACTGGTTTGTGACTTTTTGTACAACTCTCACTGATGGCCCAGGATCTATGAAGAGGGAGTACCCTCAATTAGTCATTTTCAGCTGACTTCATTGTATTCAAATAATACAGAAATAAATGCAGAAGAACATTTTGGGTTTTGAAAGTGACGAAGACATCTGGGTATAGAAATCCTATAAATTTCTTTGATAAAGCAATAGATCCTTTTGAATTACAAAATATTTCAAAGCATCAGATACATGTAGCTCATAATGTAAGCAGTACTGCTGTGTTCATAAACGGCTCAGTGAAAACTTCGCCTTGTGTCACACTTGATTGCTACCTATCCCATTTTTTTCTTTCCTCCCCAGAGACAACCGTATTTTAAAGTTAGTATTTCTCATTTTCTTGTATGGTTTTACACTTTAATTACATGTGTGTGTATTAATAAATACAGTTCTTGTACATGCTTTACAATTTATATGAATACTATTATACTGTGGATGGTATTAGGCATGCTTGAAACATGCTTTGTTTGATTCGATATTACATTAAAATTTCCCTGCAAGAAGTTCAGCCTCATTCATTCTTACAGCTATAGAGTATTCCGAGGATCAGGTTAATGTCTGGCTGAGTCAGGAGCACTGCACCCATCTCGTGAGAAAATCCCCAGGCCTATTAGGGCTGGAATAATCCGTGCCTCTCAGGTGTGTAGAGGTCTGACCTTAGACAGATAAACTGTTCCTCTCAAAAACCTCTTGAAGTCCTGATGCCATTTACCTCAGCCCCTAAAGCATACAATCCTAAAACTAACATGTGGCCAAATAACATGTGCCAAATATCCTGACTCCACCCTGGTTCCACCCCTGCCTCACCCTACCCAATAGCGATCCATAGCACCACTCTAGCTCCACCCCCGCCTTACCCTATATAACCCTGTGCATTTCCTGAATAAAGTGGAAACGTTCCAGAAACTTCCTCAGAGTCTGCGTGGTGATTCTGGGCCTTGCCCTCCTAGTCCAGTCTCCCTGAACCCTGTTCCGTGAGCGGGCTTAAGGATGAAAACAACAGTATTCTGTTGTATACATGAGCAAAAATTTATTAATGCACTCTATGGCATTATTATTATTCACTTTTATTAGAAGTGTTGCAATTTTTACACCTGCATCTTTGTGTATAAATGGAAAATATTCTCCAGGACAGTACTTGATAATCTCCTGGACCCTACTGAAAATCACACAGATGCTGATTCACCAGATTGGGAAGAAAGCTTGAGAATCTGATTTTTTTTTTCTCATTGGGTTTATTGGTACATTTTAGGTGCACAGTACAGTTACATTCATTATTGGGATCTTGTACCTTTACAGGACAGGTCTTGGTTCTCATTTTTTCCCCCTGTCCCTGCCCTCCCTTCACCCCCTCCTCCCCTCCCCATTTACAAACACTTCATTTCCATTTTTTCATTTTCTCATACTTTTTTCTTTTCCCTTATTACCTTTCCCCTACCCTTCTGAGAATCTGAATTTCTAACAAGTCTTTAGGTAATGTTCGTCTGGGTCACATAATTATGGAGCAAAACAGTGGGTTTGTCCCTGAGAGTTGAGTTCTAGATGTTCCAAAATTTCTTGCCAAGTGGTTGTATTTGTTTTCTGTAGCTGCAGCAAAACATTGTGACAAAATTAGTGGCCTAAAATAACACAGATTTATTATCTTCTATTTATGGAGGTCAGAAGTCTGACACGAGTCTAAGGGGGCTGAAATGAAGAAGAGGCCAAAATTGGGATGCTAGGAAGAGGCTTAAGAGTATCAGCTCCTTGCCTTCTTTAGTTCTGCAGGTGGTACATGTTTCATCTTCAATGTCAGCAATGTGCTGTCTTTCTGAGCCTGCTGCAATCATCACATAAAAGCAATTTATACCCCACCAACAAGACGAGTGTTTCTTTCTTTTGCTCTACATTCTTTCTAATATTTGGTCTTGACATTCATTGGCTTTTGCTTAGGTGATGGGGTATAAAATGATATGTTTGCGTATACATAATCATTCCAGCACCACAGGGCAAATCACCTCACCTTCCACTTTTTAAATATACCTCTTGGATGCTGTATACAAATCATAGCAACAGTTTGTCAACTTCCAAGAAAAAAATAGGCTGGAAATTTTTTCATATTAAATATATAGACTTTGGGATAACTGACTTCTTTGTGAAATTAAGTCTTCTCATTTAAGAATATGATTTAACTTTCTATCTCTGTAGATACTTTTATGTTTTTTTAGTGAATTGTTGTGATGTTTGTATCTGTGCCTTTGCATATTTATTAAATTGATGTTGCAGCATGATATCTATTGTTGCTGCTATAAATGGAGTATTTTTTCCTCTAAAGGATATTTTAAATTTATCTGCTAGTATTAAGAAAGCAATAGATTTTTGTATGTTGGTCTTACGCTAGCAAAACGTGTTCCATTTTCTTATTAACAATGTCTCTTGAGTATTTTAGGTTTTCTATACTGGGCAATCAATTCATGATGATATTAGCTTTGTTTCTTTCCATCTTATATTTTTCGCCTTATGTCCTACTTTACTAGCTAGGATCTCAAATACATCAATGAACAGAATCAGGCTCGAGTAGTACCCTTATATTATTCCTGTTTTTAACAAATATGTTTCCAAGGATTTATAATCCACTTGTGTGAATTTGGTTTTTGCATTGTATTGACTCAAGTACATTCATGTGTGTTTCCTAGTTTGATCATGTGTTGAATGTTACCAAATACTTTTCCTCATCTGTTGATATGATCATACTATTATTCTTCTTTAAACAGTTAATGTAATATGTTAATAGTTATTCTCACATTTAATGACTCTTGCAGTCTAGGGATAAACAACTTAGTTATGATGAATTTTTATGCATCTATTTCCAGGGTTTGTTGAGCTAATGCTTTATTTAGAGCTTCTGCAACTTGTGCTTAAATGAGACTAGTTGCAATTTTCGTTTCCTGTACTGTCCTTGTCTCTTTTTTGGTACCATACTTACTAAATATATAAAAAGAATTTAGAACATTCCTGCACTCTATTCTCAGAAGACATTTGTATAGGATGGGGATTATGTGTTCTTGAATATCTGGTAGAAATTACCTATCCAGGGCTGAGGATTTAGCTCAGTGGTTCTGCCACCTGCCTCACAAGCACAAGGACCTGAGTTCAATCCCCGGTACCAAAAGCCAAAACCAAAACCAAACTGAATAAGCAATCCAAAGAGGATGAATTTTATGCCAGGCGTGCGAGGCAGGAGGATTGATGTGAGTTCGAGACCAGCCTGGGCTACATAGTGAGTTCCAGGTCAGTCTCAACTACATAGTGAGACCCTGTCTCACAAAAACAAAGAAGAACAAAAAAAGAAATTACCTATCAAATTACCTGGTCAAGGCACTCTATATTTTATCATTTCAAAATTCAAATTTTGTACCGAAATTTCTGTATCATTTAGTAAGTTTGTTGGCATTTGAATGTTCCGTTACAACAGATGAATTTACCATTTGTGTTAAAATCTCCCTCCACAAACCCTGAATTATAAATTTCCTTTTAGAATTCTGTCAAGGCTGGCCTTGCTCCCCTCCTCCCTCAGCCTCCGGAGTACTGTGATTACAGGTATGCAGCACCGTGCTGGGCGAGGGATCTTGTAAGGGAGCCAAACTGGCTTCCTATTGTCTTGTACTAGGCAGGAAGTGTGGTTATACCTGCTGAGATCCAATAGGTACCCCTCTCAGAGTTCTGGTGGCGTCTGACTTCTTTCATCCTCAGCCTAGTGAAACTTCATTCCAATAAGGTAGTCAGCACCTGGTTGGGATGACAATAACCTGATCCTCTTTCTCCACCACTCCACAGGCCCTAGCACCAGCTCATGAGTTTACTCTCCTGTTTTTGGTTCTTTCTCTGACTCCTGGGTAGTTTCCTTTCTTTATTGGGAGCTCATCTGTTGTTTTAAGTTTTGTTACTATGATTACAAACACACTGTAAACATATTTCAATGTGTTTTACATGGGGGGGGGTTCTCAGATCTCCACATATTGACAGAAACAAGAGCCACTAAATTTGCTTTTAAAATCAGATCCTCACCTCCAAGCGTTGTATACGAATACAATGTCCACATCACGCAAGGTTATGGAAAGAAACACACCTAAAACCAATTTATTTCTTTTCCGCAGCTCTTTCCCATTTTAGGTTTACTCACTTGTACTGCGTCATTGAAATAGTGTGGATGAAAGTATAGTTGCAATTCCAGAAGGATTAAGAGAGTGGACTTGGCTTTTCAAATCATAGAAAGTCTTAACGTGCTGGTTTATCTTGGAACCAGGGTCGCTTTCACAGCGACGCCTATAAAAGTGCCCAGAGGAAAATGAAAAAGTTTTCTATACTTGAAGAGTTGCGAATAAAAACTTACACAAAGAGCCAGAACGGCGATTTGAATTCACATCTCCATGCCTGCTGAATTATTTCTTCTGTCTCCCTTTCCTTTTCTTCTCCCAGTGGTACCAATTCAAGTTAGAACAGATCCTCCAGCAGAGTCAAAGCCCAGTCTCTCCTCTTTCCCCTCTGACCCTCTTCCAGATAATCTGACCGCCGTGTAAACCTTCGCGGTTTAATATTGTGCAACTTCCACCTCTCGCTCGCCCTCCGACCCAGCCCCCTCCCCCGAATCCAGGGGAACTCCCGCTGCCCCGCGTTTATTAGGAGCTGCGGGCTCCTGCCTCTCACTCGCCCTCTGCTCTGCTCAAACTCGGCTGGTGGGCGAGCCTGCTTCTTCCTCTCCGTCAGCCCTGGGCAGAACTTCCGTCTCTCTCCAGCCATGCGTCTCCTTGTAATTCTGCTTTTCGCGCTCTGGTCTGCAGCGTTGGCCGAGGACTCGGATGACTATGAGCTCATGTATGTGAACATGGACAACGAAATATTCAATGGACTCCATCCCACTGAAGACCGTAAGTTCCCCTCCGCTTTCTCTGCTCTTAACTACACATCCCACTTCTTTTGGTCTACATCACGCGCGCATATTTGGGAGCCAATGAAACAAGCGAAACACTAGAGTTTGTTTTCCAAAAGTGGGAGATATTCGAGGGAAACGAGGGGTCTCCAAAGTCATTTCTGTAACTGGTCTTGAGCGGGGCCGTATGAAATCGCCGCCGTTTTAAGCCACACGAACGGCAGTTTCCTAGAGTTCGACTCAGCCGACCTCGGAGCGCACGGTTTCCATGTTGGGAGCCAATGAAACAAGCGAAACACTAGAGTTTGTTTTCCAAAAGTGGGAGATATTCGAGGGAAACGAGGGGTCTCCAAAGTCATTTCTGTAACTGGTCTTGAGCGGGGCCGTATGAAATCGCCGCCGTTTTAAGCCACACGAACGGCAGTTTCCTAGAGTTCGACTCAGCCGACCTCGGAGCGCACGGTTTCCATGTGTTTTC